TAAAGTTTACGTGACATGATACTTAATGTGTTAGACAAATATTTACACAAGTAAATTCCTGCCAATTCAGTGGTTATAAAATCATGTATGCTTTATTATCAGCTAATTTTAATATTCACCAATGAGAATGATATAATTGAAAAATGTTAAATATAAGGGACTAAATTGAAAGTTCTAAACAAGAAGAATGAAATTGAAAAACATACGAACATCCGAGACTAAAACATATATTTATTTCATATGTTTATCACGAAAATTTTAAAAAAATTGATTATTATGAACTTAATTATAAGATCGACATATTATGATACCTCCAACTTCTTCACTAGCTCCTTTGCCGATGGTGCAGATACGATAATTTGACGAGCACTTGGACTGACGAATCCCTCCTCCACAGCTTTATCAATAAATGAGAGTAATGAATTGTAGTATCCATCAACATTCAATAGCCCCACCTGCAGTTTAGCGTTCATTTGTTCAAATTCAGTCATTATCAGAGCTAATCAATCACACACAGGCAATAGTAAGGCTAAAAAGATGGAATGTCGCAACAAAACAGAAGAAGAAAACACAGACTGGCTTGTCATGGATTCCAAGCTGGGCCCAGGTTATAACTTCAAGCAGTTCTTCCAGAGTCCCATAGCCACCTAAATGCATTCAAGATTGAAAGAAACATTCAACAGATCATCAACTTCTTTCTATGTTCTAATTAACTGCCAATATTGCAGGTGCAAAATGATGTATAATTGTTAGGACAACTACTCTTAACATGATGTTTTTTTAGCCCTTTTCAATAAAACTATGAATTTAGTTCTTTAAATTCTATGTTTGTGTCCATTTCATCCTTAACTTTACAAAAATTTAATTGGATCTATGAACTTTGAAGTATGATTCTATATAATCCTTCGTCGATTAAATGATGACATGAGATGACAATACTCGTTGAACAAAAGTTGGCTGATTTGTGTGATTTTTCACATGAAGTAGGAGGGGTTTGTTTATTATTATTATTATTATTAATTTTTTTTTTTGGGATAAGAAACATTAGAAGGGGACTTGTTTGAAAATGCAGCTGTGAACGCTATAATAGTAAGGAGTCAAATGTTTTGAAATCTTCAAGAATCAATTGGGGGATAAAAGTTATCAAAGAGGGGACATTATTATTCCCCATAGTTAGCAAAAGCCGTTTGAGCAAAGTGAGTCAAAGTTGTCCTTTCCTCTATACATGACAGGGGCAGAGCTGTTGAAGCTATTGATTTTGGATAAAACATAGCTGCCCTAGAGATGATATTCTTCAAGAAACTCTCTTTTTCAGTGTGATATTGATGGGTCAATGATGCATTTTCATTAATCATATGTGTAAGAAGAAGATGGCTGCCCACAGCTGCTATAAATGCACAGCGCCATTAATGCAGAAGATGACAAAGTTTGGTTTAAAAAAGTTATCTGGAAGGCCGAGATATTTGGAGGCTAGACAGACAGGCACCGAAAGCAAAAACCATAGTGTGTTAATACAAGAAAAAAAGAGAATAAAATGACGATTGAATGAATTATTCTATTTTTATTTTTATTTTTTGTTTTAGTTTTTTTTTTACAGTAGGGAACAAAAGGAAGAAAAAGAGGAGGATGGCTTTTTGAAGCTTTGACCGACTGTCAGATAAGAGATAGCCCAATTGATTTTTTCTTTTTGTTTTTGAGATGCCATGATAGTAACTTAACAGTCAAGTAAGAAGAAAAAAAGAGGGAGGGGGAAAAGGGGGAAGTTTTGGAAGAGATATTATTGATGGGGGCTTTGGTCAATGTTGAATGCCAAAATGAGTAAAAGCAAAAGGAGGTGATGGGCACTTTGTTTGATGATTGAGATTATGGTTAAGAATTTGAAGTGCAAGTGGGAAATGTGATGTGCAAGTGCAGACTTTATATTCTCACTCACCTGGCAAGGCAATGAAAGCATCTGAATGCTTTGCCATCTCTGCCTTCCTTTGGTGCATATCTGCCACTGCCTTCACTTCCCCTACTGTTTCACCAGTTAGCTGTAAAAGGAAACCCATGGAATAAAAAGGTCAGAGAGAGAGAGAGCGAGAGAGTTTTGAAGCCTCCTCTAGAGAGAATAAATGATGGGTTTGCAGGAAAAGAAGGGCTTATTAAATCCAAAAACTTTTGATCTAGTTATAGTCTCCTAGTTTTTGTAGTTGTTTGTCATGATATGAATAAAAAATTAAGGGTTTGAAGTGAAGAACACAAGTTAAAATTTTAATGACAAGTTTCTAACTACAGTGGGGCAGGTGTTATCATGGGAACACAGAAGAATGTACCCAAGAAAAATAACTAATAAATGAGAGAGAGAGAGATGGAGAGAGAGGACAGAGGGAAAATGATGACAAAAAAGCTAATAAAAAAATAAGGATTAAAAAAACTATAAAGCAGAGCTAAGTCGGAAAAGTATCATAAAGAAGAAAAACAAAATGCAAAATCAGATAAAAGAAAAAACAGAACGGTCCTTTCTTTTAAAATAAGAAGAGAAAAGGTTGGAGACTTTATGACACTGTTAGGTTACAGACATACCTCTCGAGGCATGAGTGTCTTTGGTATGACCCTGCATAAGAACAGTAACATGACAAAGTCAGTTGAAAACAATTGTAATGGGGAAGAAACCAAAAAAAAAAAAAAAGAAAAACAGAAACAACCTTAAAGGTACCAAACAAAGAAAACTAAAAAATGGGGCATACCCAATGACATGCCGACCACCATCATGAACAGCTTGTGACACCAAACCCATCAGCCCTATGCTGCCCCCGCCGTATACCAGATCAATGTTCCTTGAAACCTTGAAAGAACAACACCCCAAAATCATCTCAGTGACACAAAGTTCTGCACGAAATGGGACAGTTCTAAAGGGAAACAATGAGAAACTCTCAACAGATTGTTTCTGAATGCTCGTTTGGTTTCAGAAACTGGAACCTACTGTGAGATCATTTTCTGTTTCTAGTGGGAAATGAAAGAGGGAAAAGTTCAAAGTTGGAGAAGTTTTCAGCTAAAAAAAGTAAGTGATCGAGCAATATAACAAACACGTTGTGAGCACAATCATAAGGCTTCACAACCGAGCATCATGGAATATAGAAAACGAAGAACAAACAAAATAATGGAGTTCATAAAGCACGTAGGAAGAAATGTTCAACAAAGCAGATAATACAACACACCCCCAACAATCATTTTCAGCCAAAGAAACAGAGAAATGGGCAATCCAGATAAATGGGAAATCGCTGATCAAGAAAAAGAAAAAGAAGAAGAAAAAAGAATACCAATTCCTTGCCAAGTTCAATGGCGGAATCTTGGTAGCTTCTCTTCTTGCCTTGGCTACTTCCACAGAACACACAAATCCGCCTGAACTTGGATTGCTTCATTTCATGGTTCACAATCTCCATTGGGTTCCTTTTTCCCGTTTTGCTCCCCTTTTTTTGGTGGGTGTTCTCTGTTTGGGTCCGTTGGATTACTTCAAAAGTTTTGCAGTGGAATAAAAAAGAAAACTGTGGTGAAACAGAGCATCTATTTGTTCTTGTTCCTAATACTGGGTGTTGGTGTGTGTGCGCTCCCCCATCACATACAAATGTCACTGAACCAAAACAAAAAGCGTAAAAAGAAAAAGAAAAAGGGAAAAAGAGAGAGAAGAAATCTGAGAGGCCGTTTCTCTCTCTAACGATTTTGTTTTCTCTGTGTGTATGTGGTGGTGCTGGTGCAGGCCTCTGTGGGGTTCTTATGACTTTATAGTATAATCTTCGCTGCCTCGTCGCAGGTGCGTAATTTGGCACGCTTTTGCGTCAACTTCACACAAACTCACACTCTTCGCACGCTTCATATTTTAATGTTTCAAAACTAAAAGAAAATACTCACCTCCTTGTTGGTTCGTGCTATCTTGTTAGGGACAGTTGTTAATATCACAAAGAAAAAAAAAGTAGAGATCCAATTTTAAATGGATAGTTTTACCCAAATTTATAATATATACGACTGTTTATATATATATTTGTGATATACATCTGATATACTACTGATATGAATATCTGATATGAGTGAAAATTTGTGTTATATTTAAAAATCTTAAAAACATGCAATATATTTTGAAATACGTAAAATATTTTTGCTACACACTCCAATTTTCCTATCTTTTATTGAATATCATTAAATTTTGACAGAGAAATATTAAAAGATTATATATTTTTTTATTTTCGAGAAAGTAAAAAACTATCAAATTATTATTCATGATCAACATGAACATGAGTATTAACTAATAAATATCTAAATATCGTTGGTAACTAAATTTATATACTCTATCGATAGATAAAATAGTCTAAATTTGTTATGATCCATATAATAATATGGGCTACTCTCTTATTATCAATTGGTTTTGATATGAAGCCTATGAATATTAATATGTATCCCGACTCAAAAATTCAAACCAGCATTCGGTCCAAAAAAAAATTGTGGTGATAGAGTCGGAAAGCATCTTGAAAAGGCCAAAAAAATAATAATAATAATTGCAAGAATCAAATAAAATAATAGCTAAATTGTCTCAAGCTGTTTGGATTCTTCTTATTCCATTAAAGGAAAAAAAAATAATCACGTTTTTTAGTTCCAAATTTTGTTTGTATTTGAGTGTTACAATTTTTAATTTACTTTTCATTAAGCTTTTATTTGGAAAATTATCAAATGTATTATATGGTGTATCCAATAGATCTGGAATGAGAATTTGAATGGAACGAATATTGGTCATATTGGTCGTCGAAAAGACGACACCGTTAAATTAAAAAATTGTTTGTCGAATATCTCATATATTGATTTACTAACTAATTTGAGTTGAAATTAAAGAATTTAGAGATATTTTTATGTTAAATAGTAGATGTGTGAATGTATCATACGCTAATAAAAAAATAAAAATTACAACAATTATTCAAGCATAAAGGTGGGATGAAATTGAAGTTTTAGGGTAAAATTAGCCAACTTCATGGTAATTAAATGTTGAACTTTTTTTCTATTATTACTTTTAATGATTTGTCATTAGTTATAGAATGAAATGAATTGTACAGTATGATTTCTAACTTTGGAATATGTGACAGTTTTAAAATTAATTAATGTTATTTTTAATTATTTGAAGGATTAAAAAAGGGGGTTTCGGTGGACATTAGGATATGGGTTTACTTATTGATGCTTGGGAGTTAGGCTTTGCTTTGACCAAATGTTTCTGACTTTGTCATTATTAACATTTATAATAATCTGACAAAAATATGGGTTTTATTCTAATTAATCAAACTTAATTAAACCTCTCATGCTTCAAACTTATTATTTAATCCATTATCCAATTTTATTATAATAGATGCTAAGTTTAAATACGAAGAGGTCGATCTCTCACCTCACACATTGTACTTAAAAAAAATTGCTAGATTTAAATACTATTTTGGTATCTATATTTTTAGATTTTATTCATTTTGATCACTTAATTTTTAATTGTTCATTTTGGTCAATGTACGTTTTGCTCTTCGAATCTACCTTTGTGACACAAATTTGAATATCTTGATCGAATTCTAGAGATTAAAATTCTAGGTTTGGTTTAATACCTATTTGTTTTTAAATTTTTTAGAAATAAATTCTTAAGGACTCGAGAAACAATTTATTCAAATTCATTTCCATGCATATAAAATTGTGCCGAAAGTAGATGAGTATTCCATGTTTATTATAAACCATTGTTAGGTCCCTGATCCCTTTTCTTTTCAATATAGGATCTTTAACAAAATTGATATTTATTTTATTTTAGTTAATGTCCTAAAAACGTCTATATTTATTCAACGTACCATCTATAAATTTGTGGTGAATATAATTATTAATACTTTAATTAATAATTTCCATTCAAGAAAAGACAGCTAAATTTTTTAAAACCATAAATTAATAATGAGAACTAACTTTAAATTTTATTAAAAAAAATATAGATATTTTATCCAAAAAGGTTTCAAAAAATGTTTACCAACCATTCAGGCAGTGGCAGGGCTGTGAATCGGCAGTGCTTATATCTGGTATTGATGGTCCCCTTTGCTAATATTTTAAAACTTACCAAATAAAAACTCATTCTCTATTATCTCATATAATTATGTTTCTGAATCCCTTCTGAAACCAAAGATTTGGGTATCAATAAAAATAAAAATAAAAATAAAAATAAAAATAAAAGATTTTTTACGACAAGGACTAAGTTGTTACAAAATTTAAACTACGGAGACTAAATCGTTACAAACTATAGTTTAAGGACTAAATCATTACTTTAATGAAAGTACAGGGATTAAATCGTTACAAACTAAAATTTAGGGACTAAATCATTACTTTAGTCAAAGTATAAGGACCAAATATGTTTTTTAACCTAAAAATGTTCAAGACTTGACTTTACAGAAAAAATGTCAAAGAAAATATTGATAAAATCGGTATATCAACCTATATACTTCAAAAAATATCATAGAGATTAAAGATTAGGTTAAAAAATATCATTTTGGTCTCTGTGCTTTTAATTTTGGTTCATGTACTTTCATCTTTAGTTCATTTTAATCCTTATACTTTAAAATTGTTCGTTCGAGTCTTTTTACTTTTAAAAAGTGATCATTTTGGTCATTATTTACAAAAATTTTAACACGAATTCTACACATGGTGGAAATCCTTTAATATAAAGTCTTTGAAGAAATATATTGAGTGTAACGTCATCATATTACGTTCAAACATTTTATATTTCGTGATTAATATTTTTACAATATAACGAAAATATCACTTAACCTCTTTTGCCCATTATTATTTTCCTTTTTCTGCATGCACAACTAATTATATGTTTGTGTTATTGCTGTGGGAAGGTTATAATTTTTATATTTAATTTTTCCATCGCAGAAGGGAAATTACTCAGAGAGTCAATTAAAGAATGTCTGAAAATCTCTTTAATTTTCTGATGTGTATTTTTAGGGCTTGCTGTTCTGAATTTCCTGCTTATAATATGGTGAAATAATACATTTTTTCCCTTTATTATAAGGTCACTGATTCAAATTTTTGTCTCTATGTGTGTAGGAGATTTAATAATATCAAACAAATCTCATAAAAACCAATTGTGGGGAGAGAATTTAATTATACATTTTTTGATAATTGAATCCAATAGAGTGGGTTAGAAATACAGCTCCATAATAAATGCATAACAAGTTTACTATATGCTGCCTAGGGGTGGACCATCGGTGTCATAAGTGTCCTCTTTTGTTTCGTCAGGAATTTTTGTCCTACGTTATTTCGCGTCGAATAGTTCGTTGAGAATGCGAATAATGTCTTGCCTTGTATTGATTAGAAAAGTCGAGTATTAGGATTATACAAGAAAAAAGACATATTTTTATTGGTACGAGACCTTTCAAGTAATAGGTTGTCACCAGAATGGTAGGCATGTGCCTTCCAAGGAGGCATAGTCCCACATTTCAAAAGGTATGCCGTTTTACTAATTAGTTAGGCTAGAAACCAGCTCAGACTAAAGTACTAACTAAAATTTTGGAGTGTATATGATGAAGCACCGCACCATGTGTAAGGTTATGTTTTCAGGTCCTCCGTGATGAGAAAAAACGTCCTATTGTTACTGCAGGAATAAGTAAAAAATATCTGAGAAAAATAAAAATAAAACAACAACAATAAAAATAAAACACAAGAATTTGTCGTGGGAAATTTCAAACCGAAAAAAGAAACTGACCCACAACAAAAATCTACTGTGTGAAAAATTATTACAAATATACAAAATTCTCTCTTCCGACCCCAATTACACGAAGACACTCTCAAAACAAATACTACTCAAATAACTAGAGCTAGTATACCAAGCTTAAAATAAAACTCAGAGTCTTAGATCCTTTTATAGCACTTCAAGCACRTCTCCTTCATTGTATCTTTTCTGACGTGTGACAACTTCCTTTCTAATATTTTGCCAAAAATCCTTCACACAGCTCATCACTTTTTGGATTGCCAACTAACATGATATATCTATCTCATCAAGAATATCCCACGTCAACACCAAAAGAAAAATAGATTTAAAGTAGACAATATTATATAATTATAAAAATGCAGAGAGAATAGAAATCCATGTTCGTGACAATTATGATTCAAAAATATGATAAAACTAAATGCATAAAAGTGAAACTAAGCATGAGGCACAAAATCATATACATGGCACCTACTATTTATATCCCTTCGTTCTTATATGTCCCAATTTTGAAACAAAATGTATTATTTGGATTTTCAATCGAGTGTATAAAAATAAAGACCCAATTAAAAAAGATTGATGTCGATTTTATTTTATTTTATTTTATTTCATTTTCATTCATATTAATTAAGTAATGAGCATAAGATTACATTTCATAAGGACTCAGGTACGGACACGAGACACGTGACTTGCATTATTTGATAAAAAGGATTTTAGAAGCATAATTAAAGTTTTTTAGGACCATTCAATTATCACCCTTCATATATGAAGAAAGATCATTGGATTATATAAGATTCTTCTGTATGTGGGCTCGAACATTAATTTAATTCCCAAGATATTATAGATCTAACATGCACTCATAGACTGATAATTATATATAAAACTGAGACCAAAGGAAACATTATTCGGTGAATGTCCCAAGCCTATTCTCCTATTACTTC